CTGGTGCCCTATTGATTTTTTTTTTTTTGGCCGGGGGTGGGTTTAACCCTGCCACTTCCGGCATATGGGACCCGCGCCCTACTCCTTTGGGCCACAGGCACCCCCCTTTGGTGGGGCGGAACAGAGTCTTAACCTGCTGCCCTGGGTAGTGCTGTGGCATCACAGCTCACAGCAACCTCAAACTCTTGGACTTAAGCGACTTAATGGGCAGCTATTTTTTATTTAGATGGCCCAGGCCGGGTTCGAACCCCCCACCTTCGGTGTATGTGACTGGCGCCATAACCACTGTGCTACGAGCACCGAGCCTTTATTTTATTATTTAAAAAAATTTTTTTGAGACAGAACCTCGGTTTCTCGCCCTCGGTAGAGTGCTCTGGCGTCATAGCTCGCAGCAACCTCAAACTCTTGGGCTCAAGTGTTTCTCTCGCCTCAGCCTCCCAAGTAGCTGGGCCTACAGGCGCCAGCCACAACGTCTGACTATTTTTAGAGACGGCGTCTTACTCTTGCTCAGGCTGGTCTCTAACCCAGGCAATACGCCAACTCGGCCTTCCTGAGCGCTAGGATTACAGGCGTGAGCCACCGCGCTCAACCCTGTTGAGGGATTTTAACAATCTCGAGCCACTCTCTTCTCCATTACTCAAGCCCCGCCCCGGCTCTCTGGCCCCAGGACCCCCTGCCTCCGCAACATCTGGGCGGACTCCAGCTCTCCCGGGTTCCACCTCTAAGCTCAGCCAATCTATCACAGATTTTCTCCCGCCCAGCCTCCCCAGCTGTACTGTGTCCAAACTCAGCGTTCTCATCAGCCCCGCCCCCAAGCCCGCACAGTTCCGGTCCTGGATCCCCACAGCCCCCATCCTCAAACTCTTCAAGGGTTGGACCAGGGTCAGCCCCAACTACTACCAAGTCTCCACCCCAGGACTTCACTACGCTCCAACCCTCTGACTCCACTAGGCCTCGTCCACAGGCTCCCACAGATCCCGCTCCAGACTCACGACCCCGAAGGGCCCTGGAAGCCTTTGCTGACCGCTGTCACCCAGAAGACATTTCTCCGGTCGCTGCAGTCGCCGGAGCCTCAGGGAAGCATCAGGATTGGCCTGAACCATGAGGGGTTCTTGGCGCTTCCGTCGTTGCTTCTTCTCAAACAGCCGCCTCTGTGGGAGCCCAAGTGGGGTGTAGGAACCAGGACCCAGAAGGGAAGACACGGGTGAGGTGGGGCCTGGAGCAAGACCCTGCATAGTTGGGAGTTCATGAACCGGTTCCTCCACTGGGTCCCCAATGTTTAGGCCCCCAGTCTGTCAGCTCCTCCTCCCTCAAATCCAAGAGTCTTTGCACCCAACTCCCTCCTTCCCCAGGACCTAAGAATCCTGCTCTCTACACCTCCTGTTCTTTAGAAATTCTGGAGTCTCATCACTAGAGTTTATTTGCTTCTTTAAATCCTGATGTGTTATTTTCTCATTTCCTGACTGAAGAACTTGAGGTCCAGAAAGTGCCAGGAGGGACTGGGAATCCCAGAGCAAGGCCTGGGGATGGGGCTTCTGGGGAGGTCTAGAAGATAGAAGGTGCAGAGGGGAGCAGGATTCCCAGGCATAGTACCTGCTGATCCAGTTTCTGCAGTCTCATGGCGGCAAGCTCATCCACCAAGATCCTGAGAGAAATGAAGGCATACGGTGACAGCCAGCAGCACACCTTGGTTGCCCAAGAACCGCTCCTTCCACCCTCCTTTCTCCTGCCCAACTTGGGTTCTGAGCTCATGAGAAGTGATATAAAGTGCAGAACCCGAGCCTGCCCCATCTATTGTGCAGCTCTTCCTCTCAGCACTGGACCATCCAGAAGCCAGGAATCAGAGATTACAGGCCCCTCCTGTCTCAGGACTTGGGAGTTTGGGGCCCCCAGAGCCTCCTTTTTCAATGTTAACTTCAGACCCCTCTCCTTAGGACATAGGAGCTCAGGTTCCCTATCCTTTCCACAAAGTTGATGATGCTGAACCTGCAAACAGGGTTATGAGACCAGAGCTGAGTGCCTGGGGGCATAATCAAGTTTAAGTACCCCCTTCCACCTCCACGCCCCACCCCCGTGCATCTGTTTCCCCACTCACTCGGTCTTCCATCTGTCATTCTCCTGAGACATTCTGGAGAAGCAAAAATCAGGAGTCAGGGTCCAGAACCAACATCCCAATGGACTCTGCCAGCCAACACCTGACCCTAAGCTTTAAATTTTCTCCTGGACCCAGGTTAACCTACATCCCAACATCTACTCCTATTGGGGCTCAGTAGCCTGTTTCTAGTTTTCCTCATTACCGGGCCCAGAAGTCCAGTTCTCCATCTCCCAAATACCTAACTCTCTCCTGCACCCAGGCATCTCGAACTCAAAACTGTGGCCCCAAATAATCAACCCCAGCGCCCACCTGCTTGAGATCCTGGAGACTCCTCTTTCTCTCGTGCCTTGTGCCCTGGAGAGGCTGCTCACATTGACGCCTCTAGGCCTTGCCTCTCTGGCCAATCTCTAAACATAGTTCACCCCTTCTTTGGAAACTGGGGACCTAATCTCTGGGTCTAGCAAATAGAAAAGGGAAAAAAAGAGGGCTTGGAGGGAGGGGGATTCCCAATGGGACCTGCCCTAGTCCCCTCCCTCCTGGCCCCCACGCTCCACTTCCAACAAAGCAATGACTTCTGGCCGGCTGCAGCCAGGCAACCCTGCTCCGGGGATTCTGAATTGGAGTGACACGGGGGTGTTCCTTAAAGGGACCCAAGAGAGGCCGCCTCGCTGTCTCTCTCTACACATCTCTCTTATAAGAAACTTATGAGGTGGGTTTTGTGAATTGTTACCCAGCTGTAACTTGCAGGCACTTCAGGAGAAAACAAATGGAAAAACTACAACTCCCACGGGACGAAGAAGCCACGCTGCCTGCGGAAGTTGACGCACCTTCCCTCGGAGAACTGCAACTCCTTGAAAGTCTCCGCCCACTTTTTGACTAAAAGACAGGAAATGCCGCGTCGAGAGGCTGGGCTTTCTAGAAAAAGCCAGCGACTTCAGTAAGGGGCGGGGCCGTTAAACGCTGACGAAAGGACCTAGAGTCAGCGTGGACCAATCAAAACCCTGGGGCGGGCCCGCTGTGGGAAAGTGGGCGTGACCTAAGGGGGAAATCACCAGAAACGCACCGGAGGTCTTTGCGGGAATAAACGCCCTCTGCGGGGAAGGAGAGGTGAGGAGCCCGGGTTCCATGCTGTTGGGTCCTGGAAAGGATGGGGGCCAAGGGGCTGAAAGACTGGGTTCAGGAAGAGGATGAGCTGGGATGCCAGCGCTTCTAGGTCCTGGAAAAAGGAGATACGGGGGCCTGGACTTTCAGGTCTGAGGGAGGTGGGGGACGAGGTCCTGGATTGCTGAGTCTGAGGGAATAGGGTGTTAGAAGCCAGGATTCCTGGCTCCGACTCCTGTGTTGGAGGAAGAGAAGGCTGGATTCTGGGATCTTTAGTCCCTGGTAACGAAATGCTTTGTGCTTTGGTTCTTGGAAGTGGGGTCGACGCTGGGGGTCCAGACTTCTGAGTCCAGGGGAGAAAGAGGTTTGGGATAGACTTAACCTTTATTCACCTCTCTGCCCCTCACAGAACACGCCGCCATGCCTCCCTCTGGACCCCGTGGAGCCCTCCTTCTGTCACCGCTCCTGCTGCTGCTGCTGCTGCCTCTGCTGCGCTCTGTGCTGGCCGTTCCCCTAGAGCGGGGGGCGCCCAACAGGGAAGAGAGCCCAGCGACCGAAAGCCCCGTGAGTGGCCTACAATTCCTGCGGACCCCTGTGACCCTTGGGAGGATACTCCAGTGACTTCCTGGCCCTAAAGTTGTGGCTTGTCATTTTCCTGCCTTTCATTGCAGTACTGGGGGTTTGACTTGGTGAAAAACTGGGGATCCGTGACTTTGAGGTGTGGAAAATCTGTATCACTCCCCACCTGTAGTCTCTCTGTCATTTTCAGAGTCTCAGGCTGTCGCCTTGGGTAGAGTGGTCTCACAGCTCACAGCAACCTCAAACTCTTGGGCTTAAGCAATTCTCTTGCCTCAGCCTCCCAAGTAGCTGGAACTACAGGCACGCTCCACAACACCCAGCTAGTTGTGATTTTTTTGCTGTTGTTGTTGCAGTTGTCATTGTTATGTAGTTGGCCTGGGCCGGGTTCTGGCCTAGCAGCCTGGATGTATGTGGCTGGCACCATAACCACTGTGCTATGGGTACTCAGCCCGCTCTGTCTTTTTTTTTTTT